CCCAAACTTTGCATCCAGCTGTAGGGGTACACTCCTTAAAAAGGTTGAAAACCCCTGAACTAGGATGTTTTGAAAGACTGAAAATAAACCCTTACATTTGAACCTGAGGACTCACAGTACCAGAACCTTGTCTATGTAACAGTTACCTTGAGAATCTGAATCTTGGGCTACAATATCAATCCCAAACAAATAACTTATCTTAGCAGGAGGCACTGGAACTAGCATACAGCCCACTGGAATCTTGCAGGGCTTATGCCAAGAACAGCCACCTTCCTAGGTACACAGAATTGAGACACATTTTACAGACTATTGATAAGACAGCCTGGGTGAAAGGAATCACTCCCTATTCCCCATCAAAGCCCCCAGACTTACTGCCAGGCATAAACAATCTCAGTACCTTACAGGAGCAGGCCCTAAGCTTTCTGGTATCAGATGAATTCACTGCCGCTTGTCTAGGTATAAAGGCTTCCTAGATGGGTGGATAGATGGGAACTGGAATTATGTCACTTGCATAGAGGGGAAGAAGTCCAGTGTGGTGGCAATGCAACCTGAGGTGGAAGAGAGACTTGAAGCCATCTGTATGTCAGCATACTTTTGGGTGTAGTGTGTTGATGATAAAACTAAAGCTTGGTATGCCATACCCTTAAAGGTGGGAAGGTACAAAAGATAGTATTCCAGGTGTATAGTACAAAACCCTGAGATCCCTTAACATTCTGCCTGCAACTTTTCTTCTAGCTACATCATTGAGAAGGGTGTGTGCTATCTGGTATTATGTGAAGCCACTTTCCCCAAGAAGCTGGCCTTTGCATACCTAGAGGATCTGCATTCAGAGTTTGATGAACAGCATGGAAAGAAGGTGCCGACTGTCTCCAGGCCGTATTCCTTCATTGAGTTTGGTGAGGTCTTTCTCTTTGTAGTTTGTTAGCAGATATCCTTGATGGGAGCTGTTTGTTTGACTCTGTTAAAGTCTCCCAGCTCAGGCCATGGAGCTTACTTTTTTCTTGTCATTCCGTTAGTGCAGCATATGGTGTTCTGTTTTAACCCAGGATAAAAAATATGAGGGCAAAAATGGTAAATGTCCCTCAATTCAGGTTTCCACTTCTTATGGTCTTGGCTTTTTCCCTGTAATTATTTGTGTTCAGCCCATTTGCTGTCTCTGTGCTGCCCTGCCACTGTGGTCCCATGAAATGGGTATGTGGTAAGGGCTGCTAGTGCTGCCTTGACAGCCTTATTACTGTATGCTTGGAGAAGGGCTCTTCCTGTTTTGCACAAAAAGTGGAAAGCCAACCAAAAAACCAGTTCGTGTACTTTCAAAGGTGATGGTAAGCGTGGAGATAATGAAGTACAGCTCAGGGCTGTTTTGATTCGGCAACATTAGGGAGAGGGATACAGCTGTGAAGAATAATGGGATCACCACTCTTTAGGGCACCTGAGAATATTCTGATCCTATTGAGTTCTTGCTTTTGGGCTGAGCTCCAGCTCTCCATTTGCACATTGGCAGAGAGGGAAGGGGTTTGCATAACACAGGTGCAGACTCTTTTTGAAGCCTCTAATCCTGTGCCTGCTGCTGTGTCCTCTCAAAGGCAGGTTGCGTGCATTACTCTGTAGAGCCAATTAGCATACCTGCTTGTATCAGTCAATGAGCGAGTAATGAGGTTGTCAGTTTGTTTTAGGAATATGCCATGCTGGAGCCTAGAGGGTAGGAGTCTATTCAGAGTTGGGTAGGCTGCTCATACTTGGCAGGAAGGAAAGGAAAAGGCTTTCATATTGATGACTGCCTCTTGTTTCCAGATACTTACATCCAGAAAACCAAGAAACTCTACATTGATAGCCGTGCAAGAAGGAACCTGGGCTCCATCAACACAGAGTTGCAAGATGTGCAGAGAATTATGGTGGCCAACATTGAAGAAGTCTTACAGCGAGGAGAGGCGCTCTCAGGTACAAGACTTTCTTGAAATTCAAGCTCTTCTCTTGCTTTTCAGTATAGCAGACAGAAGGTGGCAGCTTGAAGGACTCTGTGATTCTTTTCCATCTGAGAAAAGAGGCAGCTGGGGGTCTCCCGGAGAAAATGCTTGCCCTGCTGGGTGTTTGAGTTTGCCTGAATGTGCATTGTCATGTTGCTCATCCAAATCCCAAAGAACCTAGCATTTTAAGCTACTGTCATGGAGTGAGCCCTTAGGGCATGTGGCTGTCCTTGTCTCCTCAGGAGGAAAATTAAGGGTGCATGCCAGTATTCAAAAGGTGTTGATTAAGGTGAGACCTCTGTTATCTCACCTGTTTAATTCCTCCAGCACAGTTTAGATTGCATTGTGTTGTAGGCTGCAAGAGTTAGACCATTGGAAGGGATGTTACCTAGATTTACACAGCCCCAGACCTTTCCATCTGTTCCAAAAGAGTTTTATCTATAAACACATTTTTGGACTGCCTTATTAGTGTTAATAATGTAATTAATCTATCTTCACTCTTTCTTAACAGCTTTAGATTCCAAGGCCAACAACTTGTCCAGCTTGTCTAAGAAGTACCGTCAGGATGCAAAGTATCTGAACATGCGTTCCACCTATGCCAAGCTTGCGGCTGTAGCTGTCTTTTTTATCATGTTGATAGTCTATGTGCGATTTTGGTGGCTGTGACCTGTCACCAAAGAGGAGAGAGCCTGTAGCATGGCAGGTGTATGTGTGCAGGACACTTTGTTCATGGGGGATGTGCATTAGAATCCACGCAGGACTGTCGCCGTTGAGGGAGTGTCCTGAAAATGATTTTTTTCCCCTGAGTTCTACCCCTTTCTACCCCTTTTAGTTGATCATAACCATAGGTATAAAGTTTGGTGGGAGTACAGGCTTTTCCTCTGAGGCAGTATACGCTAGGGGACTAGAGTTTGACCTTCCAGGACACAATGCTCATGGACAGCACTGATTGGGGTGTACTGTGTTGGAGCAGTTACAAAGCAGTTTACCTCAACCAGATTGTGTTGGTAGCAGTCACTTTAGCCTACTTTTCAAAGTAGCTGTAGTAGAAAATGGACTCTAATGAACATTCCTTATGTTTGGTAATGTTTTCTTTTCTAGAATCTGGGTCTGTAGTTGCTTTCTAAAATGAAATGAGACTCCTTTTTTGAAGGCTGATTCTGCCCTGTACATACTGTAATGGCTTTCACCCTGTCAGATGAGCAAATTGTTGGGTTTTCATTCTCTGACATCTTTCTTGTTACACTTGCATTACTTTAGGAATAAATGGATGTTAAATTATGCCTTAAAACCACATTATATTTAGACAGTGAAAAGTTTCTATCACTGATTGCTACCAAATTAAACTACTAGTTTGCAACCCTCCTTTTTCACTGAGTTGGCAGTTGTGCATAACAGTTTGTTTTAAGATGACTCAGAAGAGTTCATGAGTTTCACACGGTGTAGGCCCAGGCTCAGGGCAAACAATTTAAATCTCTTAGTTTTCCTACCATCTATTTGCAGAAACATTTATATTATTTCTTTCCTCTCTCCATCATGTTGGTTTTTTCCTCCCCCAGGCCCTTCATTTCTGCCAGCATTCCATTACTTAGGAACTGTCCTACAGAAAAATCTCAGTGTGCAGTGATGAAGGAAAAGCAGAGCATTTCCTTAAATAAGCTTATTTCATTGTCCAGCTTCCATAAAGGTTTTATAGAGAATAATACACTTTTAAAGCCAAGAGCCTTTTGTCAATGTCTTGTTCTTCTCCCTATTTCTTTTGTGGGGATTAAACTGTAGCAGAAAAGAAGGTCATTGCAGAATTACAGCATTTCTTGTAATCTTTTGTTCTGTGCCAGCCAATATAAATAGTTCCAGTGTGATGTGATTTCTTTTTTTGTGTGCATCAAAAATGTCATTTTACTTGTGACTGTTTTCAAGAGAGAATCAGCATATTATGTTTCAGCATCCCCTTTTTTTCTAGTAAGTTATCTATTACTGACATTACCTAGGACATGAATGCTGGAGAACAGACAGTACAAAAGGAAAGGAAATTTCAAGGTTCCTCAGCATCTTTAGAAAATATTAGCTACAGCTCTGGAAGTGTAAACTAACAACAAGGTGTCTCCTGAGGCAAAGTAGGCAATAGGGAGCTAGTGTTCCAGTTGCTTGTGAAAAGCAGCCTGATTTGACTCCTTTCTTCTCTGTGGGCAGGTAAGTAGAGTTTGTCCACATATCTACAGGGCAACCTGATCTGTGACTTTGTCTCAAATTATCTTCTGATTTCTGCATGATGTCTCTACTTGTTAATTTGTAGACAGCTGTATTTTTTTTAATTTAAAATTTGTGTCCCTAACAGGTGAATGTACAAGTGATGTTAGGTCTGTGTGTAATTTAGGTCTGGAAGGTGAGCAGATACCACATCTCGATTCTGTAACGACCTGAGAGGAGTTAAACTCTTCCACAGCGTGCAGCAGCTCAGTGGGAAGTTGCCTGCTGCAGCTGTACTGTCAGCAGCGAAATAAACGCTTCCAAAAGGTGTCTCTCTCTCATTATGACATTTCCTCTGTACGTGCAGCGTGTGGAAAAGACACCTCATCCTTCCTTCTCCTGGTCCCAGTTATCCTGTGTAGGAATGGGCAAAAGTTGTATGGTAAAGCTTGCACTGTGTGGAACAGGCTTGCCTAAGGAAGTGCATACCCTTTTCATGGTATTAAGTTTGCCTAGCACTGGCTCAGTGTTTCTTCTGCAGCTGGAATAGACTGGCAATTGCTATCACCTCTGTCAAGCTCCTATCCAGAAAATGTCCAGTGTTACTGCTTGAAATTGAGCTATTTTGGGTATTAGGTCTTCTGTACGTGATCAGAAGTGCATAGAGAGGAAAAGTATACATAGGTACAGATATTTTGCAAAGGTAGTTTTCATCTTGGGTAGTTTTCTGCTTCAAGGCTAACTAGAGCCAGTTGATCAAAGCCTGATGCATTTTAATTTGCTGAAGAATTCCCATCTTGCAGTATAGATAAACTCAAGAGTTTTCCATTAAAAAATACTGTTTATAACCTTTTTTAAGGTAAAATGGAGCTTGTAAAATGAGATGCATGTCTGCAACCATATTTTCTGGAAAAACCCTTAATAGCCACCACACAAGGCCTTAAATGATGCAAGAAATCCTGCAGCTGGTGATTACAGAATAATTTTCTCCCAGGTGAAGGGTTCTTTTTTTCTTGTGCTTGGCAATTTTGGGTTGGTTCATGCCATGAAATGTGTATGTTATATCCCTTCTGATGTTATCATCCTGGCTAATTTAAGTGCAATTTTGCATTATCAGAAATGTTAAATTTTTTAATTCCAAGTTTAGGACCTTCGTATCCAGTACAGCAAATGCTAATTGTGTATTATTTGAAAAGAAAAATACTGGTTGCCTTCCCACTTGATTGTGTCACCATAAAATGTATTCCAGGTCACCACTGCCCTGGTTTCAGCCGAAAACAGGCATTCTGGGAGTTGCAGATCTCACTTAAGGGATGCTGTGATGCACAGACATATCTCCTTTTCCTAAGAGCAATAGAAACTGGGAAGGGTGCAAAATATAAAGGGAGCCTCTGAGAAGAAGGCCTAGAGCTCTTGGGCTGTCTTGTTAGAGGGTCTGAGAAGAAGCTTAAGCCACAACTTGGGGAAGTTCAGCTGAGGGATACTCAGCTTACTTAGTTGAAATTGTTACTTGTTGCTTCATTGCTTTACAGCCTCTTCAACATCACTGGTACTGGATTAGAGCCTTATAAAACCCATTATTAATATTTTGCCGTGAAGAAAATAAGCCATTCAATTCTACTTTGTGCTCTGCCCCTTGACCAGTTTCTAATCCATGGCGGTATTTTGCTGCTTTATCCATGATTAGACTCTGAAGGGAGCAGAATAGTCATTCTGGTGCTAAGTAGTAGTATAGCAGAAACTAAGGTAGTGTTGACACGTACCTAATTATAGTTCATAGTCTGCTGAGATTAAAAGGACCATTTGGTATGTGAGTTATTCAGACTTCTTGCAGCTTCAGGCATTTTGTCAAGTATACTCTCAGCCCCACTTTGAAGTGTTTCCTTTGCAGTCCACGTGAGTTAGAAGATTTTGTTTTTTGTGATACGTTAGAAGGCTGCTACTTTACTGCTCTAGTCCCCATAGGCGGTGCTTATGTGCTTGGCCTGTGAGACCCTTCACCCATTTATTGCCCCTTCAGTCTTCCTCTGCCTCTTCTTCCTTGTGGCACTCTCTCCTTTTTGGGGGGAGTGTGCAGGGGAAAGGAAGACAATTTGTGGGCTGTTGTACCAGTGATCTCTGGCTTAGTACAGCTGGTGCTCTGGGGTCTGAAGGCTTGGAGTGTGGGTCTTGGGCCCCAGGCTTCAGTTTCAGGCAGCAAAATTTGTGCCAGTGTGTGCAAGAGTTCATTGAATAGTTGTGGGAAAAGCAAGAGTTGAGGTTTGGGGATGCAATGCATTGCTGGCAATAGTTAGAGCTCACCCGTATCTTGAGGAAGCTTCCTTTGTAATCCCCCAAAACACCTTTCATATTCTACTCCCTTCCTCCACCCCAAGCATTTGGGGAATCTCAGGTTCTCACTCAACCTTTCTGGTCACTTCTTGTGCAGGAAATCAGCAGCTGTACCTAAGAGCTTGCATGTGCTTCTAGACTTGCCAGCACAGAACCCAAATTCAGTTCCTCACCTGGGCACCTGTCAGTAGCTCTCCAGCTAATGGTTCCTGGAGCCCATGCCCCAGAAGCATGACTGTGGCCAGGCATCTGGAACAGCTGCCACATACAGAAGCAGTGGCAAATTCTGGTTGCCACTGCTACAATTGCATGGCAGTGGTACCAACCATTTTGACCCCCTTCCCAAGCTGGTATGCAGTGCAGCTGCCCCAGAATGAGAGCATTCTAGTTACACCACTGCTAGGCACATCTGTTTCAAGTCATTCATCTTACTAAAGAGTAATAAAAAAGCCAGCTGACCCTGTGCTCTGGTGAGTATCAAGCCCCTGCTTTTCAGTTAAAGAACCTACCAGAAAAACCCTTTCCCTGTACCCATAGCTCTGTTTGTTCCTTTTTTTCACCTTCCTTCCAGACCAATGCAGGTCACATGGCTTACAGTTGCATCAAGAGTGGAAAAGTGGAGATAAAAGAGAATAGGATGGATCCAGGCACAAACTGAAGTGACAGCGTAGACCCTTGAGGAGCAGTAGTTTTCTTCACAGGACCAGACTTTCTTTCATTACGTAGTTTTATGTAATTATCTTGAACAGTTCTGAATACCTTTGATATCATTCAGCTTGTATGTTACTTATTCTTCCTTTATATAACAATGCTGGAGCTCTCCTCTGCTGCACAACACATGCAGGAGAGGTGATAAATATTTAACTCATGCTGCCAAGGACAATGTATAGCTGTAGCTGTATAATCATTTGGACAAAAAAATTCACAACTCTACTCAACAACTAATTTGAGGAACAAATTATCCCGTTAAAAAATGCCACATTCGTCCAGATTTAGTTTATATTCTATCTGCTTCGCTTTCATCCTACAGAGCATGAGGATGTTGTCTTTAAGCAGATGTCTATACAGCATTGCAGTTCTTTGGTTCTGCTTTGAAGAGTCCAGCTCCTCATTCTCGCCACATCTGCATCTTACATGAGCAGCTAGAAGAGGGAGGGAGGGACTTAAGCTTGTTAGTACGTTACACTGCTTGTAAAAACACACTTAGCAAGTTGTGGCCAGACATTCTTTGGTCTTTCTTAGCTTCCAAAGGTAGGAGAAGTCTCCACAAGTCACCTCAATAGACATCAGCTACTAGTTTCCTAAGATCTAGGTACAACTTGTTCAGAAACAGTCAGATGCGACTCATCTGACTTATTCTGATCGTTTCTGTTTCTCATCTGACTGTTTCTGATTGTTTTTTAGATATATAGGGAGTAAAAGGAAGGCCCAGGGAGGAATAGGACCCCTACTAAATGGGCAGAAACAATTGGTGACGGACAGGGGGGACAAGGCTGAACTCAACGAGTTCTTTGCCTCAGTGTTCCTAATCGAGGGGCACAACAAGTCTCACTGGGGTTGTAGAGAGGCAGCAGCAAGGCGCCAGACTACCATGTGTAGACCCTGAGATGGTACAGAGTCACTTGGAAGAACTGGATGCCTTTAAGTCAGCAGGCCCGGATGAGCTCCATCTGAGGGTGCTGAAGGCACTGGCCGACGTTGCAGAGCCACTGGTGGGAATATTTGAACACTCGTGGCACACGGGCCAAGTCCCGGAGGACTGGAAAAGGGCCAATGTGGTCCCCATTTTCAAGAAGGGGAGGAAGGAGGACCCGGGCAACTATAGGCCAGTCAGTCTCACCTCCATCCTTGGCAAAATCTTTGAAAAAATTATCAAGGCTCACATTTGCGAGAGCCCGGCAGGAAAAATTATGCTGAGGGGAAACCAGCATGGGTTCGTAGCAGGCAGATCGTGCCTGACTAATCTAGTCTCTTTTTATGACCAGGTTACGAAACGCCTGGACACAGGAGGAGGGGTGGATGTCGTATACTTAGACTTCAGGAAGGCCTTCGATACGGTATCCCACCCCATACTGGTGAACAAGTTAAGAGGCTGTGACGTGGATGACTACACAGTCCGGTGGGTGGC